CGCTCTTGAACTTTTAATGGTTGTTTTAAAAGTACTATTTTATCTGAGACTTTTGTCTTAAACACTATGAACTGTAAACCTAATGCAGAAGATTATATAACTGAATAATTTATTGAATTTTTACAGACTAGTTTGAAGAATGTCAATAAAATGTATTATGTTTGCCATGTCGTTTTTTTCTGTCTTTTGATTCATGAGACCCTGACCCTGTCCTCAGAGGTACACAGAAATTACATGGGGCTTTTAGAGTCAAACTCTTTCTCCCAAATCAAAGGCAGGAAATAAAAATGCTACATAGCTCCATACTGCATTATCATGCACCACCCATTCTGAAGTGTCTGTGTGTGGGTAAGCTTGTATATTCCCAAAGTAATTAATCTGTTAGTCATGCCTAACTTCCCTCTCTGGTCCATCCTTATTCCCATATTTCTTTTAGTGGGCCTCAGCAGCCTTCCCTGTGTGTTTTGCCCATGTGTTGTAAGTCTTGTGGTCTACTCCCCCTGCCCTGGTGTTTGTTGTGTGGCTGAGTAAGCCAGCTCGAGCCTCCCCAGCCATTGTGTCTGTGTGCCCCCTCCCCAACATTCCCCAAGCATAGCCGTCCCGGCTTTTTTCCTGTGGGGATGTAGCTCAGTGAGCTTCATCCCCCTTCCCCTTCCCCCTTTTCCCCCCCACAACCCCAGCCTGCCCCTCTTAGATTCACCAGGCCCACTGTACATTTTTGGGTTTCTTTATTGTTTTACCCTTCCTGATGTGAAGCAATGGCACAGCAAGAACTTTGTGGGGGGGGAAGATATGCCCACAGAACTTCCTGCAGCCCCCACTGTGGGGGCAGATCCCAGCCAAGCCCCCAAGGGGATGAATGTCCCCATAGCCCCCACTCCAGAGTCCAAATGACCTCCTCCAGGGGTAGAGAAGACTGAGACCTCTGCAGCAGGGACAGGTAAGACTCTGTGGGGAGCCAGCAGGGCCAAGGGGTCTCCCCTGGCCAGGCCCCCCCTGGAGGGGTTCCCAAGTGCCACCTCCCACCATCAGGGAGCAAAGGCAAGAGCAGTGGGAAGGGCTCCTCCTCAGCCTCCTCCACAGCTGGGGTTGGGAAGGGCATGGGCCCTGCCCCCAAGCCTAGACCACCAGCACCTGAGGGAACAAGGTATACTACACCAGCCAGTGCACCCACCCAGCCTGGCCCTGGTCCTAGCCCTGGCCCCACCAATGTGACTCCCCAGCGGGGGAACTGCAGTTATGCACAGGTGGCTGTGGGGTGACTCACAGCTGCAGGACCTGGACCCTCCACTACAGGCTCTTCCAGCTCGGGTGGCAGAGCCCCCTTTCCAGCACTAACCCGCAGGCACAGGGTGAAGTGTAAACTACCCAAGCAGTAGAACCTGGATTTTGAGACCTGGGTGCAGACCCTGGCTTGGGTGGTGAGGGCCCTCCAAGATGGTGGCAGCCTCCTGCTTCCATGGCATCTTATTCCTTGCGTCAGAGGCTGCTGCACACAAAGTGATGGAGAGGGGACTCATGGTGGAGGGCAAGTATGTCCCCCTCGGGCCCCTTGAAGAGCTGGGGACCTGGGTGGTCTTCAGCTCCGTCTCTCCCCATATCCTTAATTGGGTCCTGCTTCCCCAACTCCAAACCCTGGGCAGGATGAGTGCCCCATGGGCTGGGCAGGGAAGATGTCTGCAGGTCCCACTGGCAAAGAAGTTTGCTCATGCATCCAGCTCCTCCAGGAGATGGACCGCTGCTCCCACTTCTATGCCCTGGAGAGGATGTGGGGAATCAAGAAGTACATCATCTGCTTTCTAGCGGGTGACAGCACTCCCCTCACGGATCCAAGTGAGATGCGCCAGCATGCGTGAGCCTTCTATGAAGAGCTCTTCTCCCTGGATCTGACTCATGCCAACACCTGTTGGACCCTATGGGAGGGACTCCCACAGGTCAGCACAGGTGACTGGGACTAGCTGGAGGCTCCTCTCACTCTAGCCAAGTTTTCGGCCACCCTCCGCCTGATGCCTGGCAACAAGATGCTGGGCATGTATGGTCTGACTGCGGAGTTCTACTGGGCCTTCTGGGATGTCCTTGGCCTGGACTTTGCTGTGGTTTCGGTCAAATCCAAGGGAAGTGGGGAGCTCCCCATGTCATGCCAGAGGGCTGTGCTGACCCTCCTGCCAAAGAAGTGGGTTCCCCGTGACCTAAGGAACTGGCATTCCATGTCTCTTCTCTTCATGGACTACAAGGAGGGCCTTGCATGGACTACAAGGAGGGCCTCTTGCTGCACCTGTGGTCCATGCTGGCGGATGTGATCCATCCAACCAGATGTACACGGGGCCTGGATGTTCCATCTTCAAAGACCTGTACCTGGTTTGGGACCTCCTTCTCCTGGCCTGTCTTTCACCCTCCTGTCCTTGGACCAGGAGAAGGCATTCAACGGGGTCGATCATGGATACCTCACAGGCATGCTGCGGGCCTTTGGTTTTGGACCCCGCTTTGTTCAGGGTCTCCAGGTGCTGTACACCTCTGCAGAGTGTTTGGTCAAGCTCAACTGGACCCTGACAGAGGCCATCCCATTCAGGTGAGGAGTGCATCAAGGCTGTACACTGTCAGTCCAGATGTACGCCTTGGCCCTGGAGCCCTTCCTCTCCCTCCTGTGGAGGTGGGTGGCAAGGTTGATGCTCCAGGAGCCGGCAGTGTGACTGGTCCTGTCAGCATATGCCGATGACATACTCCTTCCAGTCCAGGACTTGGGCAGTCTGGCACAGGTGGAGGCCTGCCAAGCATTGTCCTCGGTGGCCTCCTCTGCCTGGGTCAACTGGGTCAAGAGCTTTGGCCTGACTGTGGGTGATGGGTGGCAAGTGGGCTCACTCCCCCTGATACTCCATGGGATCCACTTGAGTGTGGGCTCACTGCTTTATCCGGGGGGTCTACCTTTCACTCATGAACCCCTCCCCACTGGAGAACTGGCACCAGGTGGAGGTAAAGGTGTTGGAGCGGTTCTGGGCATGGGCAGGACTCCTGAGGTGTCTCTTCCTGCATGAGAGAGCACTGGTGTTGAACCAGCTGGTCCTGTCCATGCTCTGGCGCTGCTTATACACCCTGCCTGTGTCCCCTGAGGTCCTGGCTGGGCTCCAGAGAAAGGTGCTGGAATTTTTCTGGCCAAGATGGCACTGCAGAGGTCCTGACCCTCCCCGTCCAGGAGGGTAGCCAGAGCCTGGTTTGCCTGCACAGTCAGGTCCTGACATTCCACCTTCAGAACCCGCAGTGACTATTATATGGTGTTGGTAGCCACATGGCATGGGGCTACCTAGGACACACCTTCCTCTGCCACTTCTGGGGGCTCTGATAAGACTGGCAGCTCCTTGGCCAGCAGGGCTTCTCCCTGCAGGACCTGCAAGGGCTGCCAGAGTTCTACCAGGACCTCCTTTCAACCAAGTCACAGGACCTCCTGGTCAACCTCCTCCTGGCCCTGGCCCAGTGGGTCCTGTATATAACCAAGAAGGAGGCTGTGGCTGGGAAGGTGCCCAAGGACTGTGGGGCCACATTCCTCTCACTCATCCGTGCACATTTCTGTGCAGAGCACCACTGGGTGGTGTTCACTGGCTTGTTGGATGCTTTTGAGGACTAGTGGGCCCAGCCCAGGGCCCCTGCTCAGTGTCCCCCTCAGAAGCACTTATTCTCATGTTTTGACCCTTTAACTCATATGACACCCCCCACCCTTTCATTTGCTTTTGTTGTTCCAAGAAATTCAGTTGTCCCATTCATCCATTAGCCCCCATGAAAAGGGGCAACTAGCTAGCTGGGTGGGCCTTAGCCCACAGTAAGTGAATGGACAAGCAGACAGGAGCTTCTGGGGCCCGGTCCACCAACTGGTATCTGGGGATGCTACCCCTTGTGCCAGATGGACTGCTGAAGCAGCATCCCAAATTCTCTTTTTTAAGATACCATAAAATCCATGTTGTTCCACAATTAGAACACAAGATCACTATATATAGTGGTCTATAAAAAGAAAGAGAGAGGGAGAGGGATCAATCAGTTGGGCAATGTTTTATAGCTATTTACAATGTTAAAGCAATTTGGAAGCCAAATTTGGAGTTTGCAGGAGGGGGTGGGAAGGTGTGTGGAGGGATATGGGAGGATGCAGGTTGGTGTGTAGGGCTGGAGGGGTTGTGGTGGGATTGTGTAGGGGGGAAACCTTGGGCAGGGGGCTGCTCAGGAGGTCTGGGTCCCCTGCCCCCAACAGGGCTCAGCTCCCACCCCACACAGCACATGGACTACCCCCTCCACAGGGCCACAGCCCCTCCTTGCAGAGTCCCAGCCCCTCCCTGGAGGGTCCCAGCCACCCTGCAGTGTCCCAGCCCCTCTATGCAGGGTCCCAACTACCCTGCAGGATCCCATCCACCCTGCAGGGTCATGGCCCCTCTGCCGGATCCCAGCCATCTTGCATGGTCACACCCCCCCCCCACAGGGTCCCAGCCCCCCCACACAGGGCCCATAACTCACCCCCACAGCAGCACTGACTATAGGGTGCTCAGAGCTGCCTGCCCCCTCCCCCACAGCATGGCGCAGCCCTGAATGGCTCAGGGCTTGCACCCCATGTGCTGCTCATAGCAGCAGTGGCCTAGCTCACCATGGTGCCTCACGGGGTCGTGCCACTTCAGGCAGCACCAGTCGGGGGGACCGCCTGTCACACTGGACCGAGTCCTACCTCCGGCAGCAGCACTGATGGACCAGTGGGGCATGTGGGGAGGAGGCATGCAGCAGGATCCAGCCTTGTGTGGCTCACTAATGCAGCTTTGCAGTGGACTGGGACACACAGCTCCGGAACACGTGGTCCCTGTGCAGAGCCATGCTAGCCGCACAGCCTGGGCCGGGTGGTTCGGGTTGGGCCAGTGGGGCACATTTTCCATGAGGCTCAGGAAGTGATGTACCATGGCCACAGCCATGCACTGCCACCTAAGCCTCATGGAAAATGCGT